TTGACAAGACACTGTTGTCCAATATTTCAACACACGAAGGAAAGCTTAACGACTGGGATTTGTTAGAGAAAGATTGGTGAATAGAATTGTCGTTCGTCTATTTTGATGTTTTCGTCGATCTCCATTATTTAAGTTAGTTAAAGTGAAATAAGATGTATAGACAGAAGAATTGATAAATTACATGAGCAACTTATCAAACCATTCATTTTTTGTGCCTTGAAAATGTCAAATATCAAAATACTGAAATAATTGTGTGAAGTGATAGAATGTTCCTGGTGGGAGATAGCTAGCCTTTTAGTATTAGTCGAGGTGCGTGCAAGGTGATCCAGCACAATCATAGACCTTGTTTGGATAATTTTTAGACAAAGCAAATGTGAATTGTTCTAATACAGGCTGTAATCTTTTTTTTTTTTTTTTTTACAGACATTAGAGATTGGAGTTCATACTAAACTCTAAGGTTGTGTTGATGGCCAGTTAGATGAATATTTGCCATGAATTTGCTCCACAAGAATAGAATTTCTGTAGAAAGGCCAATGTGATCTTTAAATGGACTCTGTTATTTAAATCAAACACTATTTCTATTCCTTTCAAAATAAAAAATATGAGTAGTAACTCTTCCTATTGCAACACAAATGGAGGTTTGAGAGTTCCAAATTTATTTTTATTTTCGAAGTTCACCACTGGTAATTAACACCAGTTCTAGCATCCAATGGTGTGATCAAGTCGTCAACAAAGTAGTTGAGAATCATGAGGTCTCATGTTCAATTTCGTTGAGAGAATTTATTTTTTTACCTTTCAAGACTAAATTCATTGCATTCTTGATATTATATATGGATCTATAATTTCATGTATATTGATATTATATATCTTATCCTATGTGTGAAAAATGATGTGTTAAGCTTCGACATATTGAACTTTAAAATTTGAATAGGATGATTCTGTTTTAAGCCATGAAATGTAGACATGTGATACCACCATAGAGACCTACAACACTTGTATATGTCCCAATTTGGCCTCTCATATTTGCTTTTATATCAAGGCATAATTTCACATGATACCTTTCACCTCCCATCAATAACAATATCCAGTGCCAACCAGTAACAAGTATCATGTAACTCTGTCCAGCGAGATTAGGACAAATGAGAAGAATCATCTAGTGTTTTTTGTCTCAACGAAATTGAGCATGAGACCTCTTGATTTTCAACCACTTCATTGACGACTTGATCACCGTATTAGATGTTAGAACTGGTGTTAATTACCAGTGGTGAACTTCTAAAATAGAAACAAATTTGGAACTCTCAAACCTCCATTTGTGTTGCAACACGAAGAGTTATTACTCACGTTTTTTATTTTGAAAGGAATAGAAATAGTGTTCTATTTAAATAACAGCAAGAGTCCATTAAAAGATCACATTGGTCATCCTACAGAAACTCTACTTTTGTGGTGCAAATTCATGACAAATATTCATCCAACTGGCCATCAACACAAGCTTAGAGTTTAGTATGCACTACAGGCTCCAAGTTCCCAAAAAAGAAAAAAAAAACTTGGCTTACAGCTTGTATTAGAACAATTCACGTTTGCTTTGTCTAAAAATATTCAAACAAGGTCTATGTTTGTGATGGATCACTTTGCACGCACCTCGACTAATACTAAGAGGCTAGCTACCTCCCACCAGGAACATTCTATCAGTTCACACAATTATTTCAGTATTTTGATGTTTGACATTTTCCAGGCACCAAAATTGAATGGTCTGATAAGTTGCTCCTGTAATTTATCAATTCTTGTGTCTATACATCTTATTTCACTTTAACTAACTTAAATAATGGAGATCGACGAAAACATCAGAATAGACGAACGTCAATTCTATTCATCAATCTTTCTCCAACTGTTAAGTTTTCTTTTGTGTGTTGAAATATTGCACAACAGTGTCTTGTCAACATAACTATTACCATATTCAAGATTGCATGTCAGTAGTTTCTTTTCTGTAAGCCTAGAGCCTTTCTTTCAACTTCTTGCTCTGTTCAAAATTTGCTTTCCTCTTTATAGCTTTTTGCAGAAGGACATCATATTTTTTTAATGGCTCATACATGATGAGCACTGAAGATATGTTTTCAAAGACATAATTTATGAATAGGTAAAACAAGAAACCTTACTTCCTGGCAAAAGCACCAATCAAGCTTTGCTTTCAGTACTGTGCATTTCCCAAGGAATTTCCCTAGTGGGTGGTCTGTATGACACTTCTGAAACTCTTTAATTATCTGCACCACGGTGACATAGCCATCTTTAATGTATTTGGGAATTATTTCTTGAAATTAACCAATAAAAAGAACAAATTAATCTACAACTATGATATACGCACGACGAGACTATATGTCAACTAAGTTGCACCGACTCTTCACTTTTGATGTCACACCGTGTCAGATTCTTTAAAAATATATATTTTTGACGAATCTGACACTCACCCGTTGACATTTTGAAGAATTCGAGGAACATAACATGTCAATGCAAATAAACACATGCAAAGGCAGTGCTTCAAAAGCACAAGATGAATCTAATCTAATTTAATAATGTGAGAAACTTACATCAGCGCATAAAGGGTGTCTATGTAGAGTCAAAGATGAATGCATCTTCTTCCCTTGAGTTCAAAACCTATAGAAGTAGGAAAAAATTTCAAATAAATATTTTCCCTTCTCCAAGTAAGAAAAAGAAACAATAGAAAAGAAAGTAGCATCAGGAAACAAGTTTGCATTTTGAAAAAAAGAAGAAAGCAACAAAGCCAGCTGTTGTTACAAATAGAAGTCAGCTGTTGTGATCAAGTAACATAAACTTCTATAATAATGCATAACCATTCGGTAAAAGCATTTCAGATTTTCTTCCCTATTTTCAATTATTCTCTTTTCTGCTGATTTAACAAACCTGTTGCACCATGTATTCCACATCCAAATGATTCTGTAAATGCACTTCATATTTTTTGTCTTTTACTCTACTTATCATTATTTTTGCATCTCATTTTTAACTAAATATTAATTTATGCATCCAATCACAGCTTACTTTGCATTGATCAACAATGCAACAAATTATTAAAGCAAAGACACACAAATTGACTAGTTCAATCTATTGAACCTTCTCAAATATCTAAACGAACACAGTGAAAGTTGTATCTCATTAATCATGACAGATAGACATAATTTTCACTCAACACGTCCATTGATTGAAATGTTTTTCCCTACTTTTAATTCCTTGAATAAAACTTATATAATTTGTCAGGATTTATTTGACTAAGGAAGATCAGGAACTACCTCATTGGCAATTAGCATCATCATAGAGAGATGAGTTAACGCTTTGGGTATTGCCGAGTAGGTCAACAACCAAGTAATCACTAATCCACATGCTTTCTAAAGTAAGTACTATTGTCGAAGACCTTTAACTTTAGCAGAAGTAGATTGCAATTGTCCACTGTAGCAACATTAATCCACAGGCTTTCTAAAGGTAAGTATTGTCAGGTCTAATCAACAGTCAATCAGTCACTAATCTGTGTACAATTACCCTTCATAGATGCAAACATTTTTGACATTTATTGCTTCTTTTGAAACGTTACTTCCTTTCCGCAACATCTCGAAGCCAAATGAAAGATAAAATTGCCTTGACAACGAAGAAAATGACCTAAACAATTTATTACCAGTAAATTCAACTATAATTCCAGCGACAATGTCACAGAAGAACTTAGCCAAAAGGTCTACAAATTTCATATTCCATGAATGAAGACTGGTGCTTATGATAGTGATCAAGTTCTAGAGACTGAAATTTCATATATTGAACTCAGATAAATCTCTAATACGTATCGAAAGAGAAGACCGGAGGTAGAGGTGAAACGCCGGCACCGGAGAGAATGAGGCTATAGATAAAATTAGGGATCCGATTCTCGATTTCCTTTACCCTTATATATATATATATATATAAAAGAGAATCTGCCTACGTGGCGCCACCACAAGCTAAAATTTCCTATTAAATTTATTTATTTCCAAAAATAGTCTTTCCCTTTCATGAAAAAATGTAACTTTCATGAAAAAATGTGACTATTATGAAAAGTTATTATTTTTATGAAAAATTGTGACTTTTATGAAAGATTGTGACTTTTTCGAAGGATTGTAACTTTTTCAGAGTGTTGTGACATTTTCGATAAGACACAATAAACATTTGTTCACACTACCCTTTGTTGTCTATAAATAGAGGGATTTTTCTCTCATTTTAAAACAACAAAAAATCTAAACTTCTTCTTCTGCAAATTAAATATTCATGTATTTTGCCCCTATTGAGTGCTTCAATGACATCATTGTTTTTGTATCAATACACGTGTGAATAAAATCGTTTCATCCTGATAGGATTTATTTGTTTAAACCTCGGGTACTATAGGGGAATAATTTACTTAAGGAAACATTGTGCATTCAGTGTGCTCAATTTTTTCCTTTCTGTTTCATTCTATTTTTATAGATCCTGATATATATTTTTTTACAGTCATTAATTTATTTATTCTTATGATATTAATTGTTATTTTTGAGTACATATTTTAAACTTTGTTGTTTATGTTTTTGTAAAGTTATTGTGTATAAGTATTTGTTAGTACAAATAAAAAATTATTTATTTATTAGAAAATTTAATATCTCATGTTGATGTTCATCTAATTTCCAAAAAATATCAAATAATAACACTTCCCGGAGGCAAAAGGATAAATTATAAAATCAAGTTAAAGATGATTGATTGAAGGATAAATGATAAGATGTTATAATTATCGTTTTCCTTTTTATTATTAATGTTCGTTACTACGTAATCTTGTACATAAGACAATATAGTATTTTAGTTTTAATGACTGATAGAAAGAAAATAAAAAACTAGTCATACATGCTCAGAAGATGAAAAATCGGATTTCTTTTCTCCCCTTGATAGTGGAAGAGATTTCTTTCAATTTCAATGCAAAAACGACTACTCCATCTAAAGTAAACAAATGTATTGCCTTTTTCATGTTTTTCCCACAGATTTAGTAATATCATAATCTGCAAATATGTCATATAAAGGGTATCAAGCCAGCTCCCAACTCTTTATACACTAGCTAGACAAGTTTCCCCACTTTTATCTCTTTTGTCCCTATTTCTACAAGAATGCTGCATGTAATCAAACTATCTGTCTATAATCAGAGATTTCTATCTCTGATTTGAGGATGACTCTCTAATACGTTGTGAACAAATTGGTTGTTCTCTTATCCTCGATAAAAGGATTGAAACGTTCTCTGTTGCAATGTCAAGACGTTCCCTTGACTTTGCTGATTCTGTTACTAGAGTAGAAACCATACTCTGCAATAACTGAACCCTCACAGTGTGATCACTTTGAGTATTCTGAAGAGCTTTTGTTGCTGGTGTACTGATTCGTCGCCACCGGTGTGGCAGATATCTTTCTGGTATTTGGAAGCAATTTCCTGTTGAAAGAACACGGAGAGCATGGCGACAAAGAATTCCAGAGAACTCAAATTGATGGCAGCTGCAGCTTACGATGCCCTCTCTTGGAACCCAGTAAACTTTCCGTCCACCCTCAAGTTTGGTATGATGTCGGACAGGGAAACCATCTTCCATCTGGAATGATGCTTAATGGGCAGCCAAAACAAGTTGTTCTTGAAGCTTAGAGAACGCAAATGGTGTCAAAACTGTAGCAGCCACCTGATAATCAAAGACTATGTAATTCACAATGGAGATCACTTCTACTCATCAGTAAAAACATATGATGAACCACCTTGAGAGGTTGCAGTATACATGCTAACTTTTCAACTATAGGACCATTGGTAACATTTCAGTAATGACCTCATGTTTCCTATACACCTCCATCAAGTAAAGTGTGTATAAAACTAACCTAAAATAACTCAAGGTAAGGGGTGGGAAGGAACAAGTGGATAGCAGTAACGGCATTCATGACAATAGTTGAATTTACTTGAGAGTAAGGATTATCAGGAAGCAAGCATGATGTTTAAACATCCTACCAATTTTAACATTCTGAGTAACTTTGGCAGCGTTGTAGCAGATATGAAGCTTCACCTGAGATATCAAGTCCCTAACCTTCATCTGGCTTTGAAGCGGTCAAAATGATTTATTTGGCACTTTAAGAACATTCTACCACTACCAGTAAAAATTAAGGTCTAGATAACATACTTGTTCCACAAAATGTGCTAGCCGGCTTTGTGCACTCAGAAACCGTTGGATAAAAGCATTGATTGACTTTGAGTGGCTTGTTGTGGTCATACCAGCAAAAAAGTGGCTCCTAAGGTATGGCAGTGCCCACAGTGATCTCAAGGCAAATAGACTGGCAATATGCCTGTTTGTATGCAGTCCGAATGAGTTCATCATGTCTCTCCAACCCAACTCAAAGTCCTCCACAGATTCCAAATTATAGAGCCGGTTAAACTCAGCCTTCCACTCGTTGTAGCGCTCTCCTAAAACAGCATTAAACCATGATACTTTGCTACGACAAGCCAGATAGATGCAAAGGGCATGCTTAGTCGTGGGCATCTCCAAGTTAATCGCATCTTTGAGACACATGTTTTGATCAGTTAGTACTGTTTGTGGAGCCTTCCCATTCATGAACGCCAAGAACACCTTGCATGTATGAAAATATACAAAGTATCAACAGAGATTCTGAAAAATTGTTAATATACTCATTTGTGTACACCATTGCATATTCTCTTCTCTTTTTCTCAAATTTTCTTTTCTCCTTCAATTGGAGCAGAAGCGGATAGTAAGCTGAGAGGCTTTAAAAATATTCCTATATCCAAATGTTAGTACCACAAAAGCTAAACAGTATTAACTGCGATAAGCGATATCAGTATTATCTGATCTGCCAAAAAAAAACTGTTACAGCAAGCATTTTCCTAATAGAAACTATTTTTATTTTATTTTTTGATAAGATAATAGAAACTATTTATTAAAACCATTAATAATTCCTGCCCTTTCAAGACACATTTCCATTATTGCAAGCCCAAATATGTTCAATTTATTTTTCAAGGAGATGTATCCGAATTTCCTTAAACACTTGCATAGTCTAATCTTTATAATACCAACAATGTTACTCTACGTTCTTAAATACTTGTCATCCTTACTAAAAATAGATGATCCACAATAGTTGTCATTTTAATAAACCAACACATAATTAGTTATTTGTTTCCACCTTTACCCTTAGTCATAAATATGGAGAGATATTAATGTGGTGCAAAACAAAGAAGTATTCAATAGACAGGATAAGTAAATAAGGATAATCTAGTCAAATTACCCTCTATTTAATGTTTATTTAAGGGGTGTGCAAAAAAACAGGACAAGTATTTATGAATGAAGGGAGTATTATGAGAGTGAATGTTGGGTCGGTAACATCCAACATATTCACAAGATGAGTATCGTTGAGGTGTGAATGCTAAGTTGAATGTGTACTCATACAAGATAAGAAATGGCCACATTCAACAAAAGTTACGAGTAGCACACATCAAAGATAACTTCGTTGGTGCAAAACTATGGTGAGTAAAGGTGTTAAAGAGGGTACGAGGTAGACCTAAAATCACATGAGGAAACTGTCATGAAAGACCTACAATCTCTTAGAATCCACACAAAAGATAGAGCACAAGAGAGAAAGAGATCTATATAGGCGACATTTATTAGTTCGGGTCCTATCTGAGATTCATATGCCACTAGAGAATATAGAAAAATGCCTATTATCCACCAGTTTTATACCGTGTGATACTGACCCTGGGGATTTTTAGGTTGTCAACAAAATATAAAGAAAATCTGATACTTCATTGTTGTTATTATTATCATTATTTATGTATAATATGGGTCTAAGATGAGCTTAAATGGAGTGGCAGGTTCAATGAGGATTCATATAGTTAATCCCAACTTGCTTGTGACTGAAGCGTAATTGTTGCAGTTGTAGTATTTATAGAGTATGATCTTGCAGTTAGTCACTGTTACTTACCTAGAAGCATGGAAATTCTGACCAGACACATTATGAATCATAACAAGAATTTGAATCGTCAGTAACTATAGATATCCAAATGTCATATGCATAAAATATTTCAACTATATTCTGTGTTTATTTTCAATCATTTTTATTTTTTCCTTTACTGGAGAGGGTGGGGAGTTACGGTTTTTAAAGAAGGGTAGGGATATGAGTAAAATTGAAGGCCTCCAAGTAGGCCAATGGTTCAGAAATCAGCAGCATGAAATTGTATATTCCTGCTTTTACCTTCAAAGCCCAAGAGTAGGATCTCAAAGTTTCCTCTCGAAGAAGAACACAACCGAAGAAGCATGGCATACCATAGTTGTTCACTCCAACCCATATCCCAAGTGGCATGTCAAAAGCAGTCAACCGATGAGTTGTATCAAAGACCACAGCATCACCAAAAATGTCATATGACTGGATGGATGAAGCATATGACCATGCAATATTTTCCAATCTGTTGTTGGAATCTAGTGAAAAATCATACTTGAAATTGGGATCCTTTTCCTTAATGTTTCTACACATTCTCAACAAGTCTATGCTTTCATCCTCAGGATCCACCTTCCTGAATGACTGCAGCAAATTTCTGACATCCTTCTCAGTGAATGGCAAATAGCCTGGTTCCACACCCTTCTCTAGCTCCATAAGCCTCATCATTTGCTGCACTGAAATTCCTGTTTTAGCAAACATTAGAATCCGGCTCCTGTCTGCATCTTATATGCTGCGATATGCAGGAAGAAAGCGTACTTGATTTGGCTCTAGAAGTTCATGATTATGGTGGTTCATAAAACCAGTCACTCTCCATTCAGGCACTCCAAAGTCAGTTGTCTTGCTTATCCGCATATATGCTTGGCATCCACAACGGGAGGACTTTCTGTTCCTCTGAGGCTTACTATCGTTAGCAGCTTTGACAGGAATGTTGCCTGCACGATGGCAAACAAAATAGCGTCTTGTAAGTCCTTTGCCGACACCAGCTTTCCCTTCTGTGTGGTGACGCCTGATTGAAAAGCCACAGCCTTTCACAAATTCAGCATAGAATTCATAAGCAGCGTCATGATTGGGAAATCTTTGTCCTATATATGGAACTGCATCATTAATTGTCACCAGAGACAGCCTTGTTTGATCGGGTGATTCCTCAGTGCTGCTTGTATCATCCAAAGATAGAGATCTCTGATCTGAGGGATCACTATAAAGCCCCATCATGTGCCCAGCCTCTTCAAACATTATAAACTTGTCAAGATACTGTTAAGGACTATTTTTCCTTGAGACGAGGGTCTATCGGAAACAACCTCTCTACCTCTACGGCTCTACAGCAAGGGTAAGGTCTACATATACTCTACCCTCCCCAGACTCTCACTTTGATGGTGAATTTGAAATAGTCGATTTAACTATCACAATCGAATAAACTTGATCCTCAAAACAAATAAACAAAAAAAATTCACAACGTGTAGAGAGACCTAATAAAAGCTCATAAAATCTATAATCAACTCAACTTTTACATACATTTTGATAATCAACCAAGTCCGAGTGTAATAGAACTCTATAAAGTTTACAAAAATCAATCATATAAATAAAAGGTTTCATTATAGAATTCGATGTAATGCAGTTCAAGCATTGATCAAAGCACCGAAAAATTCAGCATTACTTACAGAATCAGAGAAATGAACCAAACGATTCATCTAAAATATCACCATTCAATGATTTTCCATAAAGCTGCTGCTGAAGAATTTGTGGTTTTTGATTATCCGTTGGGAGTTCTGTTTGAGAGAAAAAATGTTTAAAAGTGTAGAAAGATGTTCTATTTTGTTAACAGAACGGCGTCGTTGTTGATATGGTTTAAAATTTTGAGAGAATAACCAAATAGCCCTTTTAAGATTTATCAGTAGATACGGGGAGGTGAATTAGGACAGACTCATGGGCAGGCCCGCGTCCGACGTCGGCTGATTGGTGCACTCTTAGGGCGCACAGGCCACGTCTAATGCATGCAGGCTTTGGTTGATGCCGCCTGCTGTAGCCGACTACACATGTTCGATGCGCGCAGGTTTTGGCTGATGTTGTCTCGGGCGTCATCAGTAGATTTAGTTTGATTCGATTTGGTTAGAAAATTGATTTTTTATTATTAATGATTTGGTTTTTGCTTTAATTAATAAGAAAATGTTTATATGATTATATATATACATTGTTCATAAAAATAGAAAATGGTAGCAAGAATAGAAGTGCAATACAAATTTCTACGTTGATCACTTTTATCTAAGATATAATTGCTCGAATTCCATCTAAAGACTCATTTAATATTTTGAGAAAACAACATTCATTGTTTGGCTTGATTACAATCAAATCTAAAATTGAGAAGAGAGAAGGTAATACTAGTTTGTGTCGAGAAGAAAAAATGTGTCACAATAGAGAGAGCTAGTGCGTGCTACCTATGGCCGGAAGTAATACTAAAATTTAGAAAATAGAATGGGTAAAATGTTAAAGCTATTATTATATAATTAGGAATAAAATAGTAATTTTAATTTAATATAATTCAATTTAATCATTAATCAAAAATCAAACTGATAACCCAATAAAAATGTTTACAAAATCATCTAAAACGAATTAACCTAATATCGATAAACACATAGTATTTTTTCAATTTATTTTATCGATTAAATCGATTTTTGCGCCACTCTTAAATAACCTAAACCTGTAGTACTGATAGATGTGCATGCATAATCTTTGATTAGTGTAATAGCTAAATTTTATAACATTGCAGATATTGGAAGTATTTTTTAAATAATAGTAACTTAAATAGGGCTACTGATGCAAATCTGATTTAGTGCTACAGTCGTTTTTTATTAAAGGCCCATTGATTGTTGATGGTTCCAAATAGAAATTGGATTCTGAAAAAAAGAAAAAGAAAAATTATTGTGGATTAATATAAATTAATTAATTATATAAATGAACTTGATTTAGAATTGTATTTACTGAGAAGTCCATTAAATCAAGTCATATATGACGAATTCATTGTATTTAGTCTAGGATTCATTGGATGATGTCTAGTTTTAAAATTCGAATATATAAAATGTGATACGTTAAATTAAATAAAAAAATTATAAATTGTGTGCATATGTTAGATAACATAACATGTAAAGAAATCAAAAGGTCAGAAAAATATATCATGTGATATTTTTCGACCAATCAAATATGAATTTGTCATTGCTTCATTTTCATTGAACGATGATTCATTTCTACCCATTTAATGAAATAAAAAGAAGATAATAATTCATATGGTCACTCAACTTTAAGTAGTTCACTCAAAAAGTTACTCAACTTTGAATGATTCACATAGAAAGTCACTCATCTTTTTTATAATACAAGAGTCACTCAACTATTGATATTTCACTTAGAAAGTCACTAAACTTTATTTTTATAACTTACGACTATTGTACTAAGTCAAAGAGAAATTAATCGTTCAATCAACTAATCAAAGCACTAGCTTATGTTCAAATTGGTATTTTATTATTTATAAAAAAAGATTAATTTAAAATAATTTTTTTATTTTGAATAAAATTTAATGAAAAAACATATTTAAATTGGTTTGGTGACTTTCAAAGTGTAATACTAATGGTTGAGTGACTTTTGAGGTATAAAAATAAAATTGATTAACTCGATTTTTTGAGTAAACTATCCCAAGTTGAGTGACTTTTGAATTATAAAATAATGTTGAGTGACTTTCCATGTGAATAATTCATAGTTGCGTGACTTTTGAGTGAATTATTCAAAGTTGAGTGACATCTGAGATATTTATCTCAATAAGATTAAAATTGATACTATATAAACAAAGTTTTTTACTCGAATATAGCACTATCGGTCTATCACCTAATGTCATAGCCAATTCCTACCATGGCATAAAAAGAATTAAAATTACCATTGGCGTTATGGACCACATACGTCTCATCGCACCCCAAGGGCCAAAAAAATGCGCATCTCTACCCTTGACTCTATTTTTTCTTTTCGTTTTTTATTATTTGATCCTTAATATTTATATTGATATTGGCTAAATTTAAATTTACATATTGCATGGTTCATTTTTAAGGAGTGCACCGTGGAATAAACTTTTGATATTTATTTTTGACTAAGAGTCTGATTGACAATGTTGTTGGGAGCCCAGAAACACTTATTTTAAGAAAAAAAATTAGGTGTTTGACAAGCCAGTCAAACTACTTTTAAATGGAAGCAGAAGCACTTTTGCGGTTGGTAAAAAGCTAAAAATTTATGCTTCTTAAAATAAAAAACAGAAGCAAAATAAAATGTTATTTCCATATATATATATATATATATATATATATCTTATTAATTAATTAACATATTTCATATGTTTGGTTATGTTCCATTTAATAATTTTTAATAAATTTACGTTTATGTATTATTATTTTATTTATTATTTTATTTATTATTTTACGTATTATTTTGAATAAAGTAACAACAATATTTTTGTAAGAAAAAAAATAACAATTAAAGATTTCAAACCTTCAAAAAAATGTAAAATATTGATTGAAAATTTGAATATGAACATTTTAACTTAATAAAAATAAATAATTTTTTTTGTAATAGATGTTTAAACCAATTTTTCTCTATAAAATAATCTTAATATAAAAGTACATTAATACTTGTCCCTAATCGTAATTCAACTCTCAAAATCATTTTTTTAAAAAGATTAGTCAAACACAATTTGCTTATAAAAAACACTTTTCAAATGAATTAGCCAAACACAAGTTGTTGTTTTTCAAAAGCACTTTTCTGAAAAGTTATTTTTTAAAAAAATGCTTATAAAATAAGTATTTTTTAGGTCAAACAGACTCTAAATCAATAATATTTATTTTTATAAATAAAAAACTTATGAAGGAAATATATATTTTGATTTTCATAATTTGAAATGACAGACAGGTAAGTTATAAAACTACAAGCAAAAAATCCAGCGTAAACCGTAAAATAAATAGTTCAAAACTTTGACAGCCAAAAAGATGTTTTGATTTTTTCTTTTGATAAATATTTTCATCAATGGACTCCGTAAGTGGAGTCAAAAACTAAAATTCTAACCTTTTAAGTTTTTGGATTCTAAACTAAATAATTCATGTATATATAATAACTAAAAAAAATACAAGATTTGAACTAAAGTTATTAAGTCCAGTCAAACTTACATATGATATACCAATATGAATTGTAATTCTTCCATTCTTAATTGAATATCTTAAATTCGAGCTTCTGGAATTTTTTTTAAAAAATTATTACTAAAAAATAAATCCTATAATATACAAATTTAAAATTAATCAAATTTTAGTATAAATATAAAAAAAATTGTGGTATTTTTAGTAGACTCACACGAGGTAATCGTGTTCTATCACTTCTATGTCAACTTGTCACATGGAATCTTATCATTTTTTTATAAAATAAAATAATTTGTTTTCTATTCCCTTGGCTCCACTCCTCAACCATTCAAAAGTCACTCATTTTTGTCACCATCAACGTTTGAAATCGTCTTAACCTGTCGATTATAATTTTTTCTTTTTAATTGATTGTATTATTAGGTGATGGATAAACTACCTTTTAATTATTCATTTACAAAATTAGACGCACCAACTAACAAATCTATGTAGTTTTACTTAATTTAAGCTTGTTGCCGTATAAACAATTGATATAACTAGTTTAGGGTGCGCGTTTTAGTGTGATCAAAGCGTGTATCTTATTTGATGGCAAACACTATAGGAAAAAAAAGTTGGACTTACATACTAATTCATTGTTAATTAAATTGCTTATAGTGTGATCAAAGCGTGTACCTTATTTGATGACAAGCACTACACGGGAAAAAAGTTGGACTTACATACTGATTCATTGTTAATTAAATTGCTTGTAATTAATTTCTTAACTATTTATTTTATTGAAAAGGTAACTATTAATTTATGGACCATGTGAGAAATTAAACTCAAATATCTCATTTTAAATCTACAAGAAGCCAAATATATGTATAGTAATATAAGGACACCACTTGCATAAAATCACAGATATACTAATAACGTATTTTTTTTAATTATATAAATAACAAAAGAGAATTTGTTGTTTCTTGCTTCAACATGGCAATAAAAAAATTTAAGATTAAAAAAATAGATTTTTTATAGATATATATACAATAAGGAGAAGGGGCTTCACAGGTTACTTACAATTATTCTCATCACAGTGTTTTCGCCAGTGGAATCTTTTGGTACAATAATTTTATTCAAATCTTGGTCATTGTTAAATGGATATATAGTTAACCATGCATTAAGGTAATACTGACAAATTTTAGACTAAGCTGTTGTACCTTTTGCTTGAAGTATTTTTATTTATTTTATACAGGCATAATTATAATTGGTTTAGAAGAATTAAATATTATGATTTCTTACCTAGATCAAATGATGATTAAAGTTAATTTTAAAATCCGAAATACTATGATAATAATTATTTGAAAAAAAATAAAAAAAGTTGTTTTATCTGTTATAATTTCTTTTAATGAGTAATAAAAAATCTAATCAATATTTATAAGGACCTACTTTTTAGATCTAAATGTAAAATCAAATTTAAACTCATTAGGTATCTATTTGTATAAGCTCCATGTTTTAAAGAGAATTATGTATGTCAAATTAATTTCACACTCAAACCAGGAAAGGGTTGTCCTAATGATCGTAAACACCAAGATTATTTTAAAAGTGTAATTTACTTTTACAATTAAAAAAATATATTCCATCAATTCAATTTTATTTGTTTAGTTTGAATTTTACATGTTTGTTTATGAATAATGATTGATATGAATATTTTATCAAAATATCTATATTAATTGATATTTAATTTAAATCTTAAAAATAAAAATATAATATAAAACAAATATTTTTTATACACTTAAAATGAAAATATACTTTTAGTATGTAGTAGTAAATAAATAAAAATAAATTAAGAGCTACACAAAAAATGGGAATGATAATGCCTTGTTAATGCAAGGCAACTCATGATTATATTCATGTCACATGCACATTTATATTCTTTAATTTGAATTTGGTATATTTGACCCTTGCTTGAATTTTTGTTAACAAATCCATTTTTCACATGGGAAAGATGATTTAATATGACATCCCCTTGGAAAAAAATAAAATAAAATGAAATGAAATCCAATCATTAATGAGGAAACTTGTTAGGATTTTCAATAAATTTTGGTCAACTACCATGTTAGATTCCACCCTTTCAGTTTTCACCACATGAAATATTTATTTTTTAACTTTAATTCACTAACTATAATTCCAATTTCAAAATATTTGTCATAATTTACTTTTAAGAATCAAATTATATAATATTAGCTATTATTGATATATATATTTTTATAACACTGATATAAAAAAAACGACAATTTAATTTTTTTTATATAATTTTCAAATATTTAAATATTAATTAAAATATTAAATTATTCTAAATTAATCTTATTTAGATTAAAAATTAATCAAATTAGCTTTCTAAAACTAAAAGGTAACAAGTTATTAACAATTAATTACCTGAATCAAATTGGAAGAATATTGGAAAATTAAAGTAAGTGGACATTAAACACTAACAAAATTAACAATTACAACAACTTGCCACCTTTTTTCAAATTAAAAAAATCAACTTTCTTTAAAAGAAAAAAATAATTATGTCACTTTATTCCACACCTGTTTTCAATCAAGTCACGTTAGCTCCACTGTTCCTTTCTTGGAATTATTATTGACTAATATTTAATCATTTTATTAATCTTCAATCAAAATCAACATTTTTTTATTAAGATGTTGGCGTGTTGATCCTTACTTAGAATTAGAATCAATATTTACTAAATCAATAATATCCAATTAATATAAGTGACAGTTATTCCTTGTAAGAATGTCAAACAAAATACTAATAATTCCAGAAACATCAAACAACAATAATTGTACCACGAAAATACCACTAACATTAAAAAATTAAAAATGTCATGATATACATCTTAATTTTGTCATTTAAAAGTAATATACTTTAATCATAAATATTTTTCACACATATTCATATTGGTATAAAATTGATTTATATATACTCCTTACCGTCATAAAAATGACTTATGCATATCTCTATCATCGCCAATGTGATAATTTTTTTATTTTTTTTAAATAATGTATTTAATTTTTTCACAAATAATTTTTTGTGATTTCTTTGATTATTATTTTTTATTATTTGAGTTTCTTATTTTTTTCTTTAAAATAAGAGAAATAAAAAGAAGTGTAAATGAAAAAAGAGAAAAAAAATTAAAACAATTATTCTGCGGATATATTATAATTTATTTTTTATATCTGTAATTTTTTTGGGCATCTATAATAAAGTTTGCAATAAAATAGGTGAAAAAAAAATTTGACTACGAAAATAAAAAAATCAAATTAGCCGTTGAATTAAAAAGTAAAAAGTGTGAGAATAACCAAATATGCTCCTACATTTTAATTAAAAAAATTAATTTAAAATTTAAAGGAAAAAGTTATACATGAGTTATTTGTGTATGAGCCACTTTTATTATAGAGTTAAAGGGTGTATATATCATACCTTTTTTCCATTAAAAAAAATACTCTAATATTATCCTTTTCCTTTTTTCAGATTTCATTAATTTTATTTAATTATTTTTTCCAAAGTAAACTGGAGCATCACTGTCCCACGACCGCCAGTGGGGTCCATTAACCACGTGGCAATAACATAAAAGCGAGTAGAGATGTTTTTACTACTCGCGAGAAGACAGATTGTATCACGTCCAAGCACGACAACACAATCCACCGTCTAACTCGGTTTCAACTTTTTCAACAATCATCATTTATTTATTTCTCTGTAGAAAAAAAAAAAAAATCCCAAATTTTTAATTTTTTATAATATTTCTTATTGTATAATTTGTTTTTTTTTCTCTAATATAAATAAAGTAGTATCTGTCTTCTTGCTTCATTAAAACAACTTTCTTCTATCTATCTTTATTTATACACCTATATATATAATATACATACAGCAACTGTATGTAGAGGTCTGGTTTCTTGAAAGATTTGAAGAGGGAGCGACATCGTTTGAGCGGTTTTGAAAGTGATTGAATATTCAAAACATCCTTTTTAGTTCATTCTTTCTTTAGAAATTGGTTTTTCTGTTTTTGATCCGTTGCTTTACCTATAAGGACTATTCGACTTTCTTTCTTTGAAAAAGTTTATCTTTTTGTCTTTCTTTTTTTCTTACCCTTTTGTCAGCAAATCTTGATAACAAAGACCCTTGTTGTGGATTGGTTTTTTGGAGCTTTATTCATGCAAAGATGAAGTCTTGGAACACTGTAAGTAACCCCTTTTCTTCTTTGTTGGAGTTGTTTTGGATTAGGGGTGGTGGTGGTGCTGGGGACTAATCAAGATTGTTACAGTTTCAAGAATTCAAACTTATCTTTTTTTTTTTCCTCTTTTGAGGTTGTTTCTGTCTTTTAAGTATTAGTGCTGACTTGGGTTTTGTTTTGTTGGTTTCTTGTGTTTGAGGTTGACAAGGTTAAATGCTGTTTTTTGGGTTGGTGAAAAGGAAAAATATAGATGTGATTTTTATTTTTTTTAAAAGAGAATGTTTTCTTGTATTTGTTCTGTTTCTTTCAAGTTGAAGGGAATTTGAAGGGGGGAAGAAGTACTGCTATTAAATTGGGAAACTTAGAACTGTCTCTAATTAATATAGGCTTACATGGTTAATACTGGTTCTGAGGTTAGTAAAAAGAATACAACAATTGTGGATTTTTGAAGAAGAATTGATTTTTTTTGTTTCTTTAAGAAAAAAAGGGGTATTGAAGGGAAAAGAGAATCATTGAATTGGTGGCAATGTAGAATACTGTAGTATATTGGTACGATAGGAAGGGTCAATAGTGTCGCTTTCAATTGAATGTTATGATAATTCAATGGCAATCCGAACTTCTATCTTCTCTAAGTTTTTGAAGCTGGAGGAGTAGGGAGGTATTAATTGTTATATTCCTGCATCTATTTCCCTTAGTTTTTTGTAGTTCCCTTTCACAATTGATCATGGAAGAAGCAAAATTGAATTTGTGCATCTGGAAAGTTGGTTTGTTTCCTAGTGGATCACATTAGGTTGTGTATTCAGTTAGGTTTCAAGAGTTAAATTCTTTAAATTTGGTTCCCGGACCTAATTAAATTAGATAATGGATAATGACATTAGGATTATGAAACACCTCTAACTTGAGCTTTGTTAGGTGATTAGTACTTCATTAGGTGATTATTCCTTGCAATAACCAAACACATATGCTAGAAGGAAAAAGATCAATTTGCTTGAGCAATTTCTGTCTCTCGCAGGGCCTAAACTCTTGAAGCTCCAGTTTGTGTGCAGCAAATTTGTTAGCGATTTAATGTACACTTTATAAGCGTTGTTAGTAAAACCTCTATGGCTTTCTACTAATCTGGCGTTAACTTAACACGGGATACTTCACCAAGTCATCCTGGAAACTCATTTTTACCACTTCGAACAAAAAGAAATATGAGTAAATGATTCATCAAGATACTCTGTCTACTGTCTATCCCGGTTCTAATGTCCAAGGTTGACTTTGTGTGACTACCAATATGAGAATGTATATTATCTCTGTTTAAATTTCTCTTTTTCTATTTTGTATAAGGTAAAACTAAAATTTGTTTGTTTAAAGTTAATAGTAAAAAGTGAGGAGCATATAACTATCTTTAATACAATAGTACTGGAGAGTTTTCATTTAAAAAAAGTGGATATGTAGTTTGGATGGGGAAAATACGAATCATTGTATTTCATTGCTAAACATTTGAGACAATGAAATTTGTTCTTCTATTTAACGAGGTTTCTTGTGCTATTTTTCAGGTTTCTGTGCCTGATGCTAAAAGCAGATCATGTATCTGCAGCCTCTTCTTGACTCTTGCTTTAATTTGTGCGGTCTACTTTACCGGAAGTGCTTTGATGGCTAAGGATTTCAGGGTATAATATAGCTATTACATTCAATTGCAGTGGGCCCATTTTGGTTGTGTAGAACTGATACTGGATCACTTACTTGGAATTTTTTTCTTTATCTACTTGAATGATTTGATTGATTGAAGTGTTAAAGTTTTTATCACTTGCACTCACCCCGTAAAAGCAAGTGAGCTGGCATTAAAGGTGTCATTTGCTTCAGGATGGATGGACTATTATAAAATTTTCTCTTCAGATGCATTTTGGAATTTTCATAGAAGAAATAACCTAAATAGCATGCCCACTCAACTGCTTATTAGATGTATAATATATGTATCTAACCATATTTAACCATTGTATAATCTATGTATACTAGCTAGAAAAAGTAAACAATGAATCCGTCTGGCTATTTGTGTAAAAATCCCTAGTAAGGGACATTTAGGTTAACATTAGTGGACTAAGCAGCTATGTTGTTCCTTCTATAACCAAAACTATTTTGCGTAATCTCTCAGATTTTCTTTTAATATAAGCTTTAACTACTAATTTGAATATTTGCAGGCTTTTTCAGGTTTTACAATGAACAGTACAAAGCAGAATGGACAATGCGGAAAATGCAAGGTTTGTCTCTTCAGAAGACAGCTTTTAGCAGTTGTGTTGTTAGATTTTCTGAAGTTGTTAAGAAGCTGCCTAGTTTCTAGTTATACTTGCCTAATATACATCAATTCACAAAATGCCGAAGTGTCAGTTATTGAGTCCTTTCTTATTTACATCCGACCTTTAGTTCGGATCTCACTTAACCTTGGCTACTAATAAAAAAGAAAAGAGAAAAAAAAGGAACCTTAGCTTAATTTACTGCACCTAAAGGAAAGAAGATTTTCCAAAACCTTGTTCTCAGTATGAGTTTTACTTTTCCGAGGTTCATTTCACTAAATCACCACAAAACAGTGTAGGTACTCTTGTCAGTCAAGCTGATGCAACAATCTGTATAAAACCATATTCATTCTTACACTGAAAGTCTAGATGAAATAAAACATTTCTTCAAGTTTGTCGAGCTCTTCTAGTTTACTTGAAATATCTTCTATTCCTTTCATCCCAAATTGTCTATGAGGGTGTATGGGCTTACTTTCGGTACTCTTTCCTCTCAGTTCCCAATTTCCTTAATCTCAAACTTGCCTAGTCTTTTCCCTCTCAAATTTGTTACTTTTCTTCTCATTTTTAAAATTCTATTTTTTTATCTAAAGACTAGAAATCTACAATTAGAAACTGAGAAACTCTGATAGTGAAAAGTGAAGTTGACTGTGTTTCCCCTTCGTGTCCTCCCTTCCATTCAGCTTTTATGTGTTCTACAACTTCATATTTTGCTTCTTTTATGTTACCATAGGGGCTATCTGTTTGATTGTAGGGGTTTGTTATTACGTGCTCTAGACTTTGTAAAGTTCTTATAGTGGTTTGGTACTCCTATGGATTTCAAGAGAGTGTGTTGTGAAGGTCCTCTCTTTGCTCTCCTTGAGTTCCTTTGCCTATGCTTTCTACCAAAGCAAAAACTCGACGAATAAATGTACAATGTGTTTTACTATGTTCCTTTAATAATATATTATAAGAAAGCTTAAGCGGCACAACTTAGTTTGAGATTTCTGTTTATGCATCATATTTCGTAGCTCTCTTTAGGACTTCACCTTTGCGACGGAAGCAGAGGCGTATCCAGGATTTCCACAAGATGGGTGCACAATTACAAAAAAATGCATCTTAAATATAAATTTGATCGGTTTGACTTTTAGGTTTTTAATATGAACCATTAAATTTTAAAAATTATAGGTCCAAAACATATAATGCTACTAGTTTTAAATTTTAATATACACATTTGATTTAATTATATAAAAAATTTACAATGCTAATTATTTTAGGAATTTTCAATGTAACACACTTGAAAATTTTGAAAGATTAAAGGAAAAAAACAAAAGAATAATTAGTTAAAACGCCAAAAGTGTAACCAATAACCACTTAGAGAGGTGTTAGTAAAAGACAAGATAGATATAAGATTTAAATTTCTATCCTCACTTAGAAGGGTGCACCCAATCATCATCGTATTATTATATGATACTTTGAATGTGGGTTCACACATTTATATTTAAATATTTTATAAAAAATATAAAACTACTATATATGATCTAGAGAGGGGAGCATGGGTTCACGTGAACCCACGGCACCCCCTCTAGATACGCCCCTGGACGGAAGGTTCCAAGTTGACTTCTGTAATGCTCCTTGGAACAAGCACATATTTGAATTCTGTATCAGGACATTAGATTCATTGCCCAGACAATTATTTCAAGTCAATTCTCTGGTGGAGAGATTTTCTCTGTGCTGTCAACACATGTACCCTCCCTTCGTACTGCAAACTTGGCGTAAAATATACTCATATGCATTAAGGAAAATAGCTCAGTTGAGACCAGTGAACTAATTAATGAGATAAAAAGAATATTTTGGTCGAGACAAGTTTAACTGATGTATCTGGAACACAAGTAATTTGGTTGAGACTAGTTTAATTTCAATTATATTGGGAGATCTAGTTCTACAGTTACAGAATTCACCATGAATTAACCTCCAAACATCAATTTTTTTTAGGTAACACCTCCAAGAGAAGAAAAACAAGAGAGTCATGTGACAGAGAATGTGCAAAATAATAAATGCCAGGTTTGAGAACCAGAGCTATTATTTATTTTGATTTTTTATCTTTGGCTTCTCTGGAGGTTCTCATTTTATTCCTCACAGAAAAAGTGCAGGCCATTAGGGAGTGAGGCACTCCCAGAAGGAATTGTTTCTAAAACATCAAACCTGGAAATGCGACCATTGTGGGGTGATGTTGAGGTAACTAGTTATTTTGGTCGAAAATTATTCATGAGTTTTTTTTTTCACTTTTGACTATCTTCAATCTGTGGTTCCTTGCATGGGAATGATTATGGTTGCATGGATCATCCATGTATAGTCCACCCCCTTGCGTGCTTTTTTGATACTTTTCGTCAGTTGATCTGTTGTTGTGTTTAGAAAGCTTTAGGTCCTTCATTTTTCTTCAAAATTTCATGGGAAAGTTTTAGGTCTTGACTGTGATGTCAAAGGAGATTATGTAGGCCAGGTACAATTATCCTTAGGTGGTAAAGTGAACTGCCAGAAGGAATATTTTTGTCAATGTGATGTCACTCACATCACACAAATTTTTAATCATATACCAATAGGTGTGCTCAGTGTGTGTAAGGTCTGCAGAAAATCGAGCTATATCCAGTGTATAAGGACTGCTTGAGTTTCAGTCTGAACCGAATCTCAAGAAATATGGCAGTGATTCAGGACCTTTAAATTGTCATGAACTTTTACTATATCAAATTTCTTTGTCCATGAGACAAATTATTTCACTTGTTCAACTTTTTTATGATATTTTCCAATGTTTCTTTGGTTGCTTATGATGCAATACTTTTGTATTCAGAAGAAGTCTCCACATTCAGTTAACTTATTGGGAATTGCAGTTGGAATAAAGCAAAAAGAGATGGTGAACAAAATTGTTAAAAAGGTTATGTTTCTTCATCTTCTGCTTCCTGTTTAGCTTGTAAATGTCATTTTAGTTTTCTGTTTTTTTAAATTGCTTTTGTAACTTGTTGCAGTTTCTTGAACATGACTTTGTTGTGATGCTTTTCCACTATGACGGTGTGGTGGATGAGTGGAATGATCTTGAGTGGAGTAATCGTGCCATACATGTATCTGCTATGAACCAAACAAAATGGTAAAGTCAGTTCTAATCAAATTTGTTACTGATTGCTAGTCGCCTGCATCTTTTTTTACTCATCTAACTCTCCAAAAATAGGTGGTTCGCGAAGAGGTTTCTGCACCCGGATATAGTTTCTGAATACGACTATATTTTCTTGTGGGATGAGGACCTTGGAGTCGAAAACTTTCATCCGGAAAAGTAAGTCTGTCTTACAGCACGGTCTTTAGTATCATTGTGAACATTTATCACTTGAAATGCTGATTTCAGAGTAGAGCAACTGTTGGATGCTTACGTGTACACCCGTTTAATTACTGCATATGTTTTTATGCTAAAAAAGGTTACATCAACTGAGGATTGAGCAGATTCAACGAAAATCTTGGTGTGATGTAGCGTTACATGCAAAAAATAACCAGCAAGGATTAGGCTAGTTGGTACTAAGATAACATTCTCACTGCATAAGTCTTTTTTCAGGTATATATCTATTGTTAGAGAAGAAGGGCTGGAGATATCACAGCCAGGACTTGATGCTAGTAAATCGGAAGTACATCATCATATTACTGTGCGCAGAGGGAGATCCAAGGTGCACAGGTTAGACTCATATTTTTTACGGTCCTGCAAGTTAATCTTATAAAAGATGAAGAACTACTGCGAAGCAGAAGCGTCCTTATGCTTATGAAGCAAACTCAAGGACCAAAAGTATTTAATCACCCTTTGAGTTTGAGATACGAATACTGAAATTTGAACTTCATTTCCAGCTAAAAAATAAAAAAATTGTTGTAATTCCTTCATAGCTGGCAATAATGTGATTTCCTGCAACTGCTAGGGTCATCTCTATGCTCTAGCATTTTGGAAAAAATAAAAATCATGATATTATTTGTGTGTTTACTTTTGCATGTTCGCTGTCTTGTTCCAAAAGCTGACTGGTAATTTTTTTTTGATTTGATAGGAGGTTCTACAGATTAAATAGAGGTGGCCGAACATGTGATAACAACAGCACAGAACCTCCTTGTGTGGGGTAAAGAACTACAACCTTTTTTTTCTTTTTAATGTAATATTATCTGATAACATCTATTTGCTCTGTGACCCTCTTTTTCTTTATGGCTCAAATGATTTAGTAGTGTCAGTAATCAAAACAACCTTGATTTTTCATTTTTATTAAATCGGTATGCAGGTGGGTAGAAATGATGGCTCCGGTATTCTCAAAAGCCGCTTGGCGTTGTGCTTGGTATATGGTCCAGGTATGGGAACTTTAATTAATTTTAATCGCTAACAAGTAATCAACCAACTTGTGTGTGGCAGTAAATACAATTTCTCAAAATGTTTTGTTAGTTAACTCAATCGAAACCACAAACAACTGTTTTGCTTTTTAGTAGTTGTGTCTCCTCCATGATACTTGATAGTATATGCAGTTACATAAATGTGCACTAATGATCTATTGTCCTTATGATTTTATACCAAAATGTCTATAGCATATCACCTTTCCTTTTCGAACGTCACAAAGACCCCTGCAAGTGATGATATAGTAGTAATGTTTAACTTGTAAATTTGCAACTCTTCTTTTTGCTCGTTTTTAACTAGTTGTTCTTTTGCTACAGAACGACCTGATCCATGCATGGGGCTTGGATATGAAGCTTGGTTATTGTGCACAGGCAAATCTAAACGACTTTCTTCCTACTTCCCATCTCTTCCTGACATGATTATAACACGTGTTATTAGTTCTCAGGGCGATCGTACCAAGAAAGTTGGCGTGGTTGATGCAGAGTACATAACTCATTTGGCTGTCCCTTCTCTGGGTGGTAATTCAGATGTAGAAACGGCAAGTAGTTCTTCCCTTGATCAATCATTGATCATCGATCCTCTTTTTGCAATTTTGATCTACTTTTATTACTTAGGAGCAAATGGATTAAGTGTTTGGCTTGTCTTGTGTAGGTGATCAAAGAATTAGATAATAATTCACTGCAAGGGAAGAACTTGTCTGATTCTGATACATTGGTATGATCTGCTAATCTTACATACTTAAATTACATAAATTCTTCGTTTTATATTTCATCTAAAGTGAACATCCTTTCGGAATTGCAGGCTGCTCCAGTTGAGAAATTTGACAATCGGTCTCTGGTAAGTTCACTACTATTTATTGTATCTGGTTTACTATGAAAAGTTATCTGTTGTTTACACTGTCAGTGTGCAAAACTTGAACTCTATATTGAATGACATTCTGCAGGTTAGGAGACAATCGTATATCGAAATGAAGGTTTTTCGAGAGAGATGGCGTAAAGCCATCAAGCAAGATCAATGTTGGGTTGATCCATTTCAAAGTCGAGAAAAAGGAAAAACAGGCACATAATGAAATTTCTCATAAGTTATATACATTCAGTTGTTTGTATATACATTGTATACAAAGAGCAGCTAAGAGTAAATAGCCATACAAGACTGATAGAAATATGCATCAAGAGCCACAGTTACTCAGAAGAGAGAGGGGTGGTGTGTGGATGTGGAAAATTCAGTCATCTTTCTCTTTCCTTTGGGAATCATTTTTCCTTCTTATAGATAAATTTTGTGGTATTTGTAAATACCATTTTTTTTCTTCTTTTCCTTTTTTTTGGGGGTCTAAGAATAATGCCAAGGGTGCTGTATAGTTATGTTTATTTATGGCATTCAATTTGGTGATTTGTTTCAGGTCAACAATAAGATTTATTGCTCATAATTACTGCCTCTTGGCTCACTTGCATTGTATCTTGCTATTTTGCTGTCAGATTATTCTTGCAATTCTCTTTGAAAACAATGAGGGATCTATCGAAACAATCTCTTTAACCCAAAGGTTGAAAGGTTTGAGTTCATTTTGCTCTTTTCAAAATCTACTTGTGAAAGTAAATTGAATATGTTATTTTTTAACTAATAGAATAAACTCTCAAGTAATCAGTAAGTAAGCAATTTTTTAAAATATAAGTAGGTTATATCTTTCTTTCTTTTTTTAGATTAATTGGTTATATTAGAGATCATACTAAATTCGGATTGTGCACTGTAGCGCCCATTTAAGGTGACACTTTTAACAAAATTTTCTACCGGATTCGAATTCAAAACTTTTGACTAGGATGACTCAATCTCCCCTTTGTACCACAAGCCTACAACCCATGTTGGTCATTTTCAGGAATTTAATTAACTACAACCTTCTTCAACAATCAAAACAAATGTTTCTTCTAATGGAGTAATTTTTAAAAATCCGTAAATTTTCCTTATGTTCCTTTTTTAGAGTTAAATAATAAAAACTTTGACTAGTACTTTATGGTGTACTTTTTTTTCTTTTTGATATATAAAAAATTACAATTTATATTACTTTTAGAAAGTAGCATACGGTGATTGATCAGTGTTATAGGTAATGCAAAAGTTATATCAACCACACATTAGTATTCCTCAGTTAAACCTCTCTATCATCATCTCATCTCATCTCTAGGGTTTAAGCTCGGACATTTCAGTGTTTCACCTAAAACCTCACCGCCATGGCACTCTATGCCATACTCCTCCGCTCTCTCCGCCGTTCCTCCGCCACCGCCGCCGTCGTCAGAACTCAAATCACAACATCCGTTCACAATCCTCAAAACCCTAATTTCCTTCTACCTCAGCGATCATTTGCTTTTTCATCTGCAGAAGAAGCCGCCGCTGAACGGAGGCGTCGGAAGCGGCGGCTTCGTATTGAACCACCAATCAACGCCCTCCGCCGTGATCCACTCCCCAGGGGACCGCCTTCTCCCGATGATCCTCGATCCCGTCTTCCTGATACCACCTCAGCATTGGTGGGCCCTCGGCTTAACCTTCACAATCGCGTTCAATCTCTTATCCGTGCTGGTGATTTGGACTCTGCAGCTGCCGTTGCTCGTCACGCCGTTTTCTCAAACACACGGCCGACTGTATTCACATGTAACGCTATCATCGGTGCTATGTATCGGTCCGGACGGTATAATGATGCTAAGGCACTGTTTCAGTACTTTTTCAATCAGTATAATATTATTCCGAACGTTGTTTCATACAATCATGTAATTGTGTCACATTGTGAAGCTGGTGAGGTTGATGAAGGCTTGAAAGTATACAGTCATATTATTGAAAATGCGCCTTTTAGTCCGTCTGCTGTGACATATCGCCATCTTACTAAGGGATTAATTGATTCTGACCGTATAGCTGAAGCTGTGGATTTGCTTAGGGAAATGCTTAATAAAGGACATGGTGCGGATTCTTTAGTTTATAATAATTTGATATTGGGGTTCTTGAATTTGGGTAATTTAGAGAAAGCGAATGAACTGTTTGATGAGTTGAAAGAAAGGTGCACTGTTTATGATGGGGTGGTGAATGCTACTTTTATGGATTGGTTTTTCAAGCAGGGGAAGGTAAAAGAGGCTATGGAATCATATCGATCACTTCTTGATAAGAAGTATAGGATGGTTCCTGCAACTTGTAATGTGTTGTTGGAGGTGTTGTTGAGGCATGGGAGGGAAACTGAGGCGTGGGCATTGTTTGATGCAATGTTGGATGATCACACGCCACCAACGTTCCAGGCTGTGAATTCTGACACTTTTAATTTAATGGTGAATGAGTGTTTTAGGCTAGGGAAGGTTTCAGAGGCATTGGAGACCTTCAAGAAGGTGGGGAAGGGCCTCAAGACCAGACCTTTTGCGATGGACGTTGCAGGTTACAATAATATGATAACCAAACTTTCTGAGCTTGAAATGATGGAGGAAGCAGAAAAATATTATATGGAATTGTGTAACAAGTCATTGAGCCCAGATGTCACAACTTATAGGACAATGATTGAGGCATATGTGAAGATGGATAGTGTCGAAGGCACACTGGAGAAGTACACAAAGATGGTGGAGGCAGGGCTGAGAGTCATTCCAGTCTATGCTGAAAAGTGGTTTAATTTCTTGATTGAGAAAGGCAAGGTTGCAGAGTGCGTGCCTATTCTCACCAAGATGGGTGAGAGAGAACCAAAACCTGATGTGACAATATATGATATTGTGATTAGGGCACTCTGTGGGGAAGGTAATTATGATGCAAGTTCCAATTTAGTTATTCAGACCATAAACTATGGTGTTGGTCTCACCAGTTCCCTCAGAGAGTTCCTGTTAGAAAGTTTTGGTAACCAAGGTCGTCGTGAGGAGATTGAAAGAGTTTTTGCTACTAAACCTACTTACATTCCACCTTCTACACCACCTCGAGGACAAGTTCCATGGCTTTCACAATTGCCTAGACAATTACCAGGAACTTCTCATGCTGCAGGTACTTTTTTCCATCTTTGGCACATCTCATTATTTTGCATTTTCCCTAGAATCATTAGTTTGAAGCATATATGTTTGGTTTGCATATATACAACTGATTGGTTGGAATGCCACTAACATTTACATAAAAACCAAATCGATTGAAGCTTTTAGTAATTTTCTTGGCCTAACTAGTTTATTTTTTGTTTTCTAAAGAAAAATAACTACTACCACAATTATTTAGTTGTATTAGTTGCAATAATATTACAAGAGATTCTTATTCATACAAATAATTTTTGAAAGTGTGCCAATTCTTAGAATAATATTTTAGAAACAAAGATATCTTATGACATGTATTCACTTTAATGACTTGTTCAAATAATTTTTCTAAGACAATATTCAGATTAATGAATATGTGCTTCACATGATCCAAAGTGGTTGTAACAATTTCACTTCCATCTTATCTAATGGAGTAACCTTTACTTAATGTTTTTGAAAAAAATATATTTTCTTACCGTTTGCATTATTCAGAAGAGATTTACATTTTCAAAATACGGTTTGGTCTAAATATCATATGGTTCACCATAGGCTCATTTGTCTCCCTAAATTTTTAGTCCTTAAATCTCAAAGAGATCTCTCATACAATATTTGTTGTGGGTTTTCCGACTCTTGACAGCTTTTTAATGTCTTTATGCAGGACAACAGACACCACCCGCTTCTTTATCATCACAAGTGCAAGGTCGGCCTTCAGTTCTTAATTCAACGTGGCAACAAAATTCACCTCCCTCATTCGTTGGAGGACAGCAACAAGCTTCATCACCTTCTTTCATTGGAGGACAAGGATCATCACAAATGCAAGGTCAGCAGTCAGCACCTAACCCAAGGTGGCAACAGGCTTCACCACCATCTTTTGTTACTGGACAAGGATCACATCAACTGCAAGGCCAGCAGGCAGATCCTAATCTAAGGTGGCAACAAGCTTCACCACCCACTTTTGTTGCTGGACAAGGATCGCATCAAATGCAAGGCCAGCAGTCAGCACCTAATCCAAGGTGGCAACAAGCTTCACCGCCCTCTTATACTGCTGGACAAGGATCACAGCAAATGCAAGGCCAGCAGTCAGAACCTAATCCAAGGTGGCAACAAGCTTCACCACCCTCTTTTGTTGCTGGACAAGGATCACATCAAATGCAAGGCCAGCAGTCGGCACCTAATCCAAGGTGGCAACAAGCTTCACCACCCTCTTTTATTGCCGGACAAGTACCACAGCAAATGCAAGGTCAGCCATCAACATTTGCAAGAAATTCGCATCAGGCATCACCTTCTTTTATTCAACAAGGAGCTTCACCACCGTCTTTCATGGCTGGACAAGGATCACAGCAGATGCAAGGTCAGCCATCAGCTTTTGCAAGAAACGTGCAACAAGCATCACAACCTTCTTTCGTGCCCCAACAAGATGCTTCATCGCACTCTTTCATGGCTGGACAGGGATCACAGCAAATGCAAGGTCAGCCATCAGGTTTCACACACGTTTCACAATGGTCATCACCACCCACTTATATGGCAGGACAAGGAGGACAGCATCAAAATCAAGGTCAGCCATCAGGTTTCACACAAACTCCTTATAAGGAGGCATCACCTTATTCCATGGATGGACAAAGAGCCCATTCAATGCAAGGTCTGACATCAGGACCTGTTCATACTCCACTAAATGAAATCTCACACACATCCCAATCAGTTAGAGGTCCAGCATCAGCTTTTGCACACGTACCTGGGCAATATGTAAGACATCAAGCAATAGAAAAGGCCTCATCCCAAGGGGACAATATTGAGCAATACCAATACCCCGAAGTGGCACGCCAAGGGAGAATGTAAATTGGGAAGCATAGTTTCTCTGAGGAGCCTGCTTTTGATACAGTTATCTAAATAGGACTGCAGGAATAGAAACATCTTGATGTCAGACTATGGTCATGGATTAATATGCACTGTTAGAAATCATTGACAAATTTTGTAGAGACAATTGATGGTTTTAGGCGATACTTGTGATTTGAGTTGCTCATAAGTGATCGAATAGTTGAGCTTGGTGAAACAAATTAAATTGTACTATTGGTGAGAAAATATATTTATTTACTCTACATCTTGTACACTTGAATTTTTCCCTTCATATCAATTAAATGTACTTGCCTCGTCAAAAAAATATCTTCTTTACTTGTTATTCTTTTTATTACTTGATGATGCCTTTGTTAAATAATGCACTCTATAATTGTCTAAGCCAGTAAAAAAAACACTTCTCATTCACATATCTATAAGCTACATATATTGTCATTATGAATTGTTGATAAGCTGTTACTTGGCAATGTTAAGTATCTGTAGAGACATGGATTATGTTCAGTAGTGACTGCAGATTGTTGCTTTGGGACTTAGTTTGCAGCTTTTGGGGTCTCAAGCTTCAGGACTTCAGTGCAAATGAACTTTGTTGGTCGCTAAGAAGAAAACAATGTTGCAAGTTGCAACATAAGTTCTATTATTTGCAGCAAGTCAATTCCAAGACTGTCTTTATACAGGTGAGAAGCTTTCTTTTTAAGCACCCATTATGATATCATCACCCACTATCTTGTGCTTGTTATGTCTCAGCAACAATGTCCAATGTTGGTTGATGATATGCTCGGAATAAATACCCTGCAAAGGTTTTCATTACAAGCTGAACCTTTCTGAGGTAATGCTGAGGTGTGCAAAAGTTTTTTTCTTGTCTTTTGGCTTTCAATAATACTCCCGGATCAAATGTTAGTTATGTGATCCATCTTGCTGAGCTGAACTTAAATTGGTTTTGATGATTAACAAGCAGCTACAAAACAATCAAGTCTTTTGGAGATACTGGTTATGCTAACTGAATTGCAGAAGTGTTATGCAGATATCGAAAGAACCAGATCCTTGACGACTGCTAATCAGAAGTTGCTACATGCATTTCTGCAAGGAATCTGTGGACAACTAGGAAATATTGTTGCACTTGCATTAGCTCTTGGGTTGGTTAGGTTTGAGCAGTTTGATCTTTGATAGTAGCTCATTTTGCATTTCAAAAGTATTGTAGCAGGTGATAATTGTTGGAGTATGTTTAGCTTTCTAGACTAGGAGTTTAGACTGGCTACAATTGGGTTGATGGTAGGAGTTTATAGTGCCTTTGATTATTGAATTGCAACCTAAAACTGCTTGTGAAGTTGGTGAAAATTTGAGGTGATTTTTAACTCTCCTGAGCAAGAAATTTTCCACATAGAACTGTTTGTATACTTCAATTTGGTGCTCCACTTTCTGCTTGTGCCTACATCATTGATGTTAAATAACCAGGTTCTTTATATCACGAAAATCGAGCCAATTCACCCTCTCATGTCTAAGGTGGGTTGCTAAAATAACACATCCAGCTTTATTGACATATAAGTAAGCATCACCAAAGTTACCTATTCTTACGACATCATGGTTAATTGCTCCAAATATAGCACTGTTTTGCAGCAAAATGTAATAGTTTTCATGTCGAAGTAAAGATGATATCTGGTACAAACTTTAACTGGAGATGAAGCTACAGAACATCTTGGATATCATCAACATGGTAGTTTACCCAACGACAAAAAAATAATGGCAAATTTAACGTCGTCTACACAAGAAAATTAGTACCTCCCCTCAGTTTTAAGGACCTAAATCCTCCCCAAGAAATTCTAAAGCATGTACTACAGGAGTCAAAAAACTCATAATGCAAACCTACACTTGTGAGCAAAGGATCTAACATCAATATAAATCACAAGGAAAGGGTGAAAAAAGATACCCTTGTCTCTCAAAAATCCTCTTCAGTATTCCATCACTTTGGAACTTAGGTTCAGTAAAGGTTCTAGAGCACTTGGATTAAACTTCCTAGCAAAGAGGTAACAAACATGTGTTTTCTCTGAGTTGTATGCACATGCTGTTCCATTGTTCCTTATCAACTGTAAAAAACCTTCAGTAATATTTACCGCACTGAATGCTGCAGGGTGCGGTCCCCCTAAGGACCAGTCAACATACGTCACTGTTCGGTTTGCATTTAAAGGTCCGTGGAACAATTGAATAAAAGTAGGAATATAGTGCTCATCCGGATAGCAAGCAGGCTTGCAAAATCTTCTGAAGATATCGTAGTATTTGGTATCTGAAACTACTCTAACAGCTAAAGTTCGATTCATCTCAAACCATTGCGACCCTTTTCGCCAATCAGGAAGTTTGATATCAGGTTTCATATGGCGGTTATAGCGCCCACGCCCATAGCGAGAAGGATCATCATATGATTCAACAAAACTATGAATGGATCCTATGAGATACTTGTAGACGGTTGGGAAATTGTAAACTGGAATGCAGCTCTCAGAAAGGAGGACAAACCGCTCATTTGAGAAGTCGAGCAGAGCATTGGCCATTAGCCTCTTCTCAGCATCAACAAGTGTTACTGATCCCCATTCAACATGCTGAAAAAGAAGAAGAAAATAGTTAGCTAACTGTTACATCAAAATCCAAAAGATCATTAAACATTAGAGAACTAGTGGATTAATGTCTAGCTAATAAAACAAAGGATTTCAATTCATTTACATAACTCTGTCCAATGTCCCCCTGCTCTGAATCTACATCCTGCATGATTTTTCAATCCTGCTGAAAAACCATGTAGTAGGTTGAGAGGACTTGAGTTCTATATTGATACCCAAATAAATAAATAATGATAGCCCACAACCCCACATTAATACTATGTATCAGATAAGTATTGTTCCTTGCTCACTTCACATAGCACAAGTTTACAAAGAGGAATAGTGTTTGTACTACAGATGGCTATAACAAAGACATGAATAGCAGGGGTGCGCCTCGGATTGTGATAACTTGACTTACCAGAACATTGTAGGAAAAAAAGAGGTCTCCTGGTGTAGGTATTATGAAATTTTTGAGTATACAAAAAGCAAGAAAGAAAGATCCATGTCTCACCCTATATGAACCAATATTATATGCCTAGCCCAACTCATAAATATACAAGATAACTTGGTTCTTCTTAAGCGGTTTCAGTAACATGGCTCAATAGCTTATACTTGCATTGGTGTCATTAGTGACCTGAATGATACTTCTCCTAGCACCTAGGGCACGAGTTTGTCTCCCTCATTTGTTCATAGCTGAAAAGTTTGTTCAAAGAAGGTTTGATGGTTACAGGGTTCCACATGTTTAGGAAGTGAAATTCCAATTTTCTGATCCTTCATCAGTAACCTTAATCCTTTGATTTTCTCTCTGATAGCATTTGAAAGACACACATAAGTGTATTGAGGATATGGGTAACTGCTTTCTGGATGATTTCAGTTCCTTCATAAACCAAGGCAGGGTTGTATTTATATAGTTCAGTAATTGCCTCCCTCAATTCCCATTCCAAACTAACAGAAATCCATATGGGCACAAAGATAGAGGAAAAGGTTAGAGTGACTGTTAATCTGCAACTAACGGGACCTTCAGCTTTTGGCTCCTCACTTGAACTACATACAAGACTGCAACCTGTTGCACCAAATATCACTAGTCTCCTTCTCATCAAACCTAATCTTAAGGAAATAGAGGTGCAGCCAGGATTTGGTCCACGAGGAGCCGAAAATGGTGTTACATACATACTTTTACATGCACACACTAAATGCAGCCCCATAAAGGAAACACATTTTACATATATGAGATATATACACGTGTGCATGAATTTTTTTGGCAGAGGGTAGTGGGGCATTAGTAAGAAATTTTAGTCACACATCAGGAATCCAATCCATATGGAAGATAAAACAAGGATCCATAACATAAAAAGGGGTCAAATGCAAAATAACCGATTGTAATTCTATATATTTTCTGATTTTTATGCCTTTCTCTCAACGAAAAGATCAAATGTCCAATCCATTTTATTTTTCTGGTTTTCAAGCAGGTTGGAATGTGTATTATCATAACAGCAGATAATTTTAAAGCCATTTCAACCAGCAATTTCAGTAAACAAAAAAAAAGGACAAGCCCATATGGCATAGGGATGAATCTCCTTGGAGAGGTAAAAGTGCTTCTCTTCCACTTACGACACCATGTTGACATCGGGCTTTCAAGCCCATTATTTCTACTTGTAACTGTTTACAGTCTTGATTATCGTAACTGTTTCATCCCCTTCCATTATTCGTGATACCAAGCATAGCATATCCATTGCGTCACAGGGTTACTCTCAGATATGGAAGTTCTAGCAATAAGCCTCCCTCTGATTCACATCCCTCACAACATGATCACTCTACGAACTACAATCTACAGCTAGAACAGCATTTTTTTCCTAATAAATTAATCTACCTGTAGAGTATAATGTCTCCCTTAAATCACGAATGAAAAGACAATGAGAAACAGTTCTGACTTTGCTTTTCCAATGCCATTGTAAATTTATTCGCTTGAATATTAAGTTACTGAATCAGCAGTCCAGTCATCTTACTTCTATCTAGTGTCAATTTTGCAGAAAACAAAATCACAGTCACAGAGCTCAATAGTTCAAACTATACAACATTGAAAATTCATTGCCAACCTTGGCAGTAAACAGCAACATTTAATAAATGTTATAAAGTATGTTCTCATCATTTTCCTCAGAATATCTATATGAGAATGTTTCACCGTACATTTTTGCATATTGTCACAAACTGAAAATTTCCTCAAACTCCTAACAGACTGAGCAATTCAACACTTGCATCAAGAGAACTGACGTTACTCTTGTTTGAAATTTCAACTTTTAAACAGCTTACTAACTAAGTATTCTGCAACCTTCCAAATCATCTTGACAATTCAATGTGCTATAATTTTTATTCTTTAATTAACACCTAATAAGAACTTCATACATAAAAGAACTTTGAAGAAAGAGAGTGCATTTCAGCATCCTTCTCAAAAGTTGGGAGAAATCAAAAAAGTCAGCATGCATCTTTTATGCAAATATAAGTCATCTCTAACTTAAAACATTTCACATACTCCATGTGAAAACAGAACCAAACTAACACATTGTTTTATGAAATTAATACAAAAAACATGCATTTGTCAAACTATCTATCACACAATAAGCATGAAACAACATCAATATAACAACCTTGACTTCATGTCAGCAAGAATCATACCTGACTTGGAATTTGCCTCTTGTAAAAAACTGAGGTATTAGAAATACTTAGGACGTACCCTGGGAGGGCATGCATATATATAGAATACTTATTCACATCCTGCCCTTGAAAGAACCTCTCCCACAATGGTATAAATGGTAACTGTCCCCTAGTCAAGAACATAAAGGCCACTTTAGGCACTCTCTTAAATGGAAACTCTTTCTTGTAAGGCTCTAATGAAGCTCTCCAAAACAATTCCTCATCTGACATTCCATGAATCAAAATCTTTGGCCTAACAAAACTATCCATGCTTAAACAATCCTCCTTCTCACAAACAGAACAATTTCCACTCTCCTTGCTCACTGTATCAGCCAATGCATTATTTGCTATAATCTGTTCAGCTTGAAAGGTAAAGTACCTATCAATATGTGAACTTGAAGTCAATCCAATAACTACTCCAATTACAAATACAATCAAAGTTGCCAACACCCTTAAAAGACTAACTGATGAATCTCTTGTTACTGACACAGGCAATTTACCCTCTAGGTCTTCCTTTTCTCCCCTATTCCTCATTTTTTGACTCTCAGGTTGCAAGATTATCTAAAGTTTCAACCTTTCACAAGCAAAAAACAAAACCCAGTTCCCAAAAGTGGGTAAATCAGCCAAGATTCACAGAGAAAACTCAAGAATGAAGTTCCGCTACTCCATTAAGAGTAAATTTCAAAACCCAATTCCAAAATCGTGTAATTCGACCAACCCACCAGAATAATCCATCAAAATTTGAAATTGAAGAAAACCCAGATGAAGTTTCGCTACTATATTACAACCCTTTCAATAATTTGAAACAAAAAACCAAAACAAAACAAAACAAGAAATCTTGATGTTTTTCGATTGTGATCTACAAAATCAAGAAAACAGGAAGAAGAAGGAAAAAATAAAAGTAATTACTGATTTAAAAAAAAACTGAGTTAATTAAAATTAAAAAGTGGAACTACCGGAAACAGTAAAATTGAATGATCGGAGGAAGAAAAAGGGGCAAAGGCGGCAAAAAGAAGAAGCATTTGATACAGTGATTGTTAATTTCTGAGAAGTAAGATACTATATGTATAATTAAGAAAAATTAATTAATGTTTATAATTAGATAATTAATTTGCCACTGAGTTTAATGCTGTCTTCACTTTGAATATTGCGCTCTAATTTTGGTCGTTTTCTCATGGTGATGTTTTTGACAAACTTTTGTTCTTTTCACCCACCATTTGTTACGATAAGAACAAGACGTTTAATAACATTAAGAAGTATTATCTCCGTTTTAATTTTACAGGAGTTTATCAGACGTGTATAATTATATTCAAAATCTACAATTCTCAATTTCAATTAGGATTTTCGAAAGCTACTCAATTTTAAATCCTAATTTATATCTATACAATAGGTATTATATTTCCTTGAAGAGATCATCTTAAATATTCAGTAAATTTCATAATATTTATAAAGAGATTAAAATATGTCGGGTTCTCATATATTCCACAAATCCTTTTTTTAATTTGAGAAATACGTCACTAATGACTCTCGAATCACGGAGAATTAAGGGAGAAATAGAATTGTACTCATATTGTTTTATCAATAATATTCTTGTTTCTTCTAATTTTGTTTATGATTGATTTTTTTTCATATATTTAAAAAATTTGGCTACTCTTTTATCCTAATTCTTTTAACATTTTTAAGACTGCAAGATTATATGATATTTTGGTATATTTCACATACTTTTGATTTATAATCACACGATTCAAAAGTCTTATTTATTTTCTTAAATTTTGTGTTAAATCAAAATCAAACAAATAAATTAAAACAAAAAAAAGTATATCATAATTTATATTAAAATTTCTTGAGAGATATATTACGTTCAAATACGGAGTACTCATATAAATTTAATATAGTTAAATGATGTAACAATTAATAATTCATTAAATTTATGAAAGTTCACGAGCAAAACGATTAAAAGTACGTATTACAATTAACAGAAGTTCAAATGCGTTTAATCATATATATGTAATAATGACTAAAATTTGAATTTATCGGTATTTTAATCATTTGAGTTATAAATTTTCCTATTTAAATTTATGTTTGACATAATTTTCTTTTTTTAAAAAAATAATATGTTTTATAAAGTTATTGAGATTTCTTCACTTATGCTTGGGGATTGTAAAACTTCTTTGATAAGGAGCATATTATTAGTGAATAGTGGTCTTACAAGATTGAATTTAGATTAATCAAATATCAATAGGAAACATTGTAGGTTTATTAATTAATCTACGAGACTCAAAATTCACGTTAATCAAGCAAATAGATTTAAATATCCAATGCTTAAAGTGAAAATTAAATCACAACTTCGATTCTTTCCAACAAGAGAATTTTAAAGCAGAAAATTATTAAAAGAACAAAGAATATTATAAGGAGTTTTTTTTAAAATCCTTTAAAATTAAATAAAAACAGAACTTTTAAGAATATTTAGAAGAAGAAGAAAATAGGTTGCAAATAGAGGGAGAGGAGTGGTAATTATTATTTTATTACTAATAAAGAATAGTGTCATCTTTCTAATTATTTAATTGTACAATAATGTAATCTTTTTTCTAATTATTTAGTTAGTGCATTACCACTACTGGAGCATAATCATTGCAAGCTTCTCTTTGGCATTTTTTCTGAATTTTTATTTGAAATTTAAACACTATTGATGTCATATCCAACATGTAAGCTATGAGTTGTGTAATTATTTATAAGAAAGGCTAATAATATAGATAATTAATATTCTTTTCATTCAGTTTTACTTCATCAATATATTAAAAATTATTTTACTTTTACTAATCCACTTTAATATATCAAGAGAAAGACAATTTTTGTAATAAAATATTGTTCAAAATTGAATTCCGCAAATTAAAATATGTGGTGTAGATATAAAAAAAAATGCGATCATTATGCTAATAATATATTTACACAAGTCATTTAACTTCTTTTTTTAAAAAAAATAAAATAGTGGAATAAAGAATAATTACTACTTTAATTCCATTTTTTTCTTGGTTATATCTAAATGAAGGATTGGATTAAAAACTATGCATCGGAAAGTACAATGCGTCGAAAACACAAACAAACTTAGTTTTAATTTTCCAACCAAATTTCCACATATTTGTGAAAAAATAGTAAGTGAAGCCTTTACAAAAAATGGAGGCAACGATTATAATGTGAGAAATTAAACTATCTAGCTGCATTTGTCGAGGTCATTTAACAAACTCATTAACAAAAATAATTATTGACATAAGTATTTAATTATATTATCTCTATTAATTGATGTTTAATACTTTCTTTGTCCCTATTTATTTGTCCAATTTTTCTTTTTTTATTTGTCTATTTTAACAAATCAAGAAAGGACAAAAAAAATTTCCTATTATACCTTCAATTAATTAATTTTGAAAAAGGTAGAACTTATTAAAAATCTTAAATTTTTAATTCATCTACTTTATAATAATATGAATAAAATGGTAAACTCACTATGTCAATCATTGTTTTCTCAATAGGTGTGTCAATTCAAAAATGGACAAGTAATTAGGAACAAAAGGAGTATTAAATCTTAAAAATGATTTGGAGAATAGTATTTAATGCTAAGGGTAAAACATGAAGAAAAAAATTTGTTTTGTTTTTAATATGTCAAAAGTGACAAGTAAAAATAAAAATATTTCCTCTATCCCTAATAACTTGTTCACTTTTGAATTGAGACACGTATTAAGAAAACAATTATCGACATAGTGAATTTACCATTTATCCCTATTAATTTTGAAGTGGATGAATTAAAAAGTTAAGATTTTCAAGAAGTTCTGCCTTTTTCAAATTAATTAAATGAGGGTATAATAGGTAAAAAAAAAATTATTCTTTCTTGATTTATCAAAATGGACAAGTACTCCTTCTGTCCAACAATAGTTGTCCATTGACTTGGAACACCCCTTAAAAAACTATAAATAGAAGGGTAACTTTACTACATCACCCTTTGAATATACTAATACAATGTCTTGAAAAATGTAATAGAGAAATGACTGTAATTAATAATAAGAGTAATTTAAGAACTAAGTATAAAATTATCCATGTATTTCATAAAGTGGACAAGTATTATTGGACATCTATTTTTAGTATAGTGGACAAGTATTGTTGGACGGAGAGAGTAATTAAGGACAACTAAAAAAGAAAAAGTGGACAAATAATTAGAGACAAAGGGAGTATATTTTAAAAATAAAATGACAAATAAAAGTAAACGAGGGACTGCAATAAATTGTTTTCTGCTTTATTTTCATTTCAAATCAGTTATCAATATCATATCAACCAAACGAAACTATTTAATGTGAGTAAAGAAACATCAGAGCAGGTACTAATTTGACCAATCAACGAAGGTTCATATGAAGTTTCATTTTTCATACTATTATACATTTTGAAATTAAATACAACCGCCCGGTAAAGTTAAAAATTTGAATACATTCGATCAAATTTAATGTATAAATAATTATGAAATTTAATTTATTATTCAATTATTACCATTTAAAATTATTGTTAAATATAACATGGTGTAATTAATTACTTATAAGTGAGCAATTTCTGTTCATTATCTTTTGAATTTTGAAGCCATAAAGATTAAAATGAAACCTTAGAACAAGTTATGGACAAAACAAAGAAACTAGCGCCAAATTTTCACATATGAGAGATATATCTTTAGTAAATGACCATTGTTTTGAAAAAATAAAATTATGGACATTTTAGACCATAATCTAAAAAATCTTATTTGAAAGTTTGTAAATATTATGAGAAAATGTTAGACTACGATATAAAATTTATATTAATCTCAAAGGTTATATTCCGACCGTTTCTAAGAAAGGGAAATTATGTCGAATAACAAGCATTTAGCCTATAGTAGGTACTATAGCTACAATTTAAGAAAATTGTAATTCACAGCTATAGTTTCTCCAATTCTTGTTATTCGCCTGATTTGTATAAATTCATAATTGTATAATTAAGTTCCTAATTGTATAAATCTAAAATCTTGTATATGATTACCCTAGCTATTTGTATACGATTTATGAAAAAATCATAATAAATTACCCTATTTGTATATTGGCAAGAGAAATATACAAACGGAGTTCTGAAAAATTCTTATATGTATAAATACAAAATTTGTATATACTTACCCTATTTGTATATTTACAAACGGGAAGACATATGCAAACCGCAACCTCCATAGCAAACGAAACTATATCTATGGGCACAATTATCGAAAATATAGCTATTGAGCCTTATTATGTCTTTTATGTTTGCTATTTCTAAAATTTTCTCTTCTAAAAATAGTGACAAAAACTAAAGAAAAAATTACGCGGTTAAGCAAACTTATACTACTTAATTAGTCATCATAACTATAATTTTCTATAATTACCAACCACTAATATTAACCATTAATTATGTGGGTTGACTTCGAGTTTGTATAATTAGCTACATTTGTATAATTCACAACTAACAATTCTTTGTTTGATTTGTATGTGTATACGATGGTTTTTTTTAAATATGACGATGATTTCCTTTGATTTTTTCAGTTTTATTACCATATACATTCAATCTTTTATGTATAACTTTGTAAAGGTTGTATAAACGTATAGTTTTCGGATTTTGTGTAATATAATTTGTATATTTGTTTAAAGTTCATATGTTTATGTTTGTATCAATTCGTTATTTCAAATTTTATCATATTTGTATAATTCCAGACTTTATATTACTCAATTATACAAAAAAACACGTGAATTATACAAACAAGATGCGAATTATACCAATTATTGCCCTCTCTCGCTCACCTCTCTCCTCACTCTCCCAATCTCGCTCGCCTCTCTCCCCCTTCTCCCAGTCTCGCTCAACAGATATACAAATATACATGTATATCAGTTACATATATACAATTATCTAATTGATATACATATACAATTCACCTCTCTCCCACTCTTTGCCCTCTCTCGCTCACCTCTCTCCTCCCTCTCCCAATCTCGCTTGCCACTCTCCTCCCTATAATATGTAGTTACGAATCATAATCAACAAACTATATATGGAGCGTAATTAAGCTATTTTTGAGTGGCCATATGCGAAAGTTCCCCTAAACTAAATGGTGAAACTTGAAAAGCCATACAATTTCAAGGTCCATATCCAGTTATCCGATAGTCAGCCCATTTTCTTGGGCTAAAAGTAGTCGTGTTAACCTGGCCCAGACAAACTAAGGCCCATAACCGAAACTGGGGCTGCTACTAAAGCCCAACCGTATGTTGAAAGATTGAGTTTTATCTTCTTCTTTTTTTTTATAAAAAATAGTACTTTTTGGCATGAGTATATTAAGGAACTTTTAGCATTTACGAAGCATAGAGCTAGTGCATGAGTTATTTTTGCTATTACACTCTATCAAACGACCGCTAAAAGATTTATTGAAACATCACAAAATATAAAACTTGATTGGCAATAGATTGAGGCCATGTGGATAAGAATACACAAATTATGATGAAGTTCGATACCTGATATGATCTGGATGAATGTCTTGACCTTGTTGGTCGCTCATTATCCGATATCTAGTAGCAATTCGATTCTTAGTCAGTTGTGTTATTTAAATGAAAATGTTATATTGTTTGATACATTTAAATATTCTCTACTATAAAAAAAAAATTAAAAAAATTGCAGAAATCCCACCTTTTAGTTTACTTATTACCATTATCCCCTAGAAGTTTTACAAATCTCCAAAATCCCTCATTTTCGCGCATCAGATTAGTGTATATCGCGCATCAGATTAGTGTATCTCACGCATCAAATTAGTGTATCTCGCGCATCAGATAGTGTATCATGTATAAAATGTACATCAGATTAGTGTATCTCGTGCATCAGATTAGTGTATCTCGCGCATCAGATAGTCTATCATGTATAAAATGTACATCAGATTAGTGTATCATGTATAAAATGTAATGTATCTTACTTAATGATTAATGTATCTCGCGCATCAGATTAATGTATCAGCGCTTATATTATTGTATCCGTTTTGAGGGATTTCTGTAATTATAAAGTTTTAAGGGATAAATTGTAATTTTGCCTTAAAAGTATGTGATTTCTGTAATTTGCCCTAAAAAAAAATACAATGCCCTTTAATAAATCATAAGTTTATGTACTATAAATCATTGAATTGGAGATTTTTTAATTGGAAAGAGGGATTAATTACCATTTACCATCACAATCTTGCAATATCATTCTAAATAAACTTTACACATGCAAAGTTGGTAAAATATGTTGGGTAATTTTAATGGCCTCTTCTTTTTTAATACTGTCCATTTCTCCAAAAGCTTTAGAAATGTCTCACAAATTATTCCATGTGATGAAATGTCAATGTCATAGAGAGGTGCTAAAACTCCACAACCCTTCAAATCAACATTTACAATAAATATAATGCATGATAATTACATGCTTCATCACATATTAATTGATATATTTCGCTTTTCAAGAGTTAAATTATATTAATTTAAAAAAAATTAATCAAATTAATTTTCAAAAATTGAAATATAATAATTAATATAGGACAAAGGAAATAGTATTTTATAAGAGTAAATTTTAGGAATAACAAAGAAAAAAATCATATTAGCACTCTATAACTACAGTTTTGTTATTTGCGCTCTATAGCCAAATTATATTTGCTATAAAACATCTGATTTCAGTGGCGTGCCAGGATTTTTATAAGGGGTTAATAATTTGAAAAAATAGACACACGAAGTAGTCAAGGGGGTTCGACATCTACTATATAAACCTAAAAAATTATTTTAATCATATATAATTAATAGTATAGTTTTTCGCCGAAGGGCGTTCAGATGAACCCCCTAACTATAAGGTGGTTTCGCCACTGCCTGATTTGTATAAATCACGGCAATTTGTATAAATCGGATGTTAATTTGCCTGCTTCTATGAAAATTGTATTTGTATATGTATATGTATATATTATTTGTGTTAGGTTAGAGTGGCGAGCGAGATTGGGAGAGAGGAGATAAGCGAGCAAGTAGATCTTCTTTACTATTTTTTTTTTGGTAACCATTGTAAACATTACCATAACATCAAAAACGATTACAAAATAAAGAGCACCCATTCCTGCTAAAAGGACTTAGGCCTCCTACAAAAAACAATTAAATACATTATAAGTGCTGAATGAAAAAACTACAGTTTCTTGCCTTCTTTGATTTACTTAAGAAATATAATCTCTCTATCAACTCCTTCTTAATTTGTGTTACTACCTCCTCTCTATGTACACTTTTCCTATTAAATTTTTTCCAGTTTCTAGCTCTCCAAGTATGATAAAGTATCGCCCCACTTATAGCTGCAACGACCTCCTTTTGAAACTGCTTCCAGTGTTTCACCTTTATACACTCTAGTACCTGCTTGATTTCATTATTTGTCAATGTAATACCTACCCACTTCATCAACTCTTGCCATACACTTTTTGTCCAACTGCATTTTTCAAATAAATGCATTGTGGTCTCCATAGTCTGCTCATCACACAGGCAACAGTCATTATCCTCAACTGGAATATGCAATCTCAATTTCTTCTCCTGAGTGAGTAGTCGACCTTGCACTTCCAACCACACCATAAATCTATGCTTAGGTAGAGCCACAACAGTCCAAATCAAATCAACAATTTTCATGTGTGGCCTATGTCCTAATAATGCCTGATAGCTTCTTGTAATAGAATATTTCCCACTTTGAGTCAGGTTGTATTTGCCCTGGCAGTACCATTTATGCATTTGATACTTAATTGCATTAAGTTTCCTCCAATACCAACTACACTCTATAGGGACCTTGTGATTCCATATTGAACGTTCATCCTTTAGATATATACCATGTACCCATTTAACCCACAAAACTTCCTTATTCTCTATGATCTGCCATATCAATTGGCCTATTGAAGTTATATTCCAAATATAACTTCCTTTTATATTCAATCCACCTCGTCTTTTTGGACGACACACTTTATCCCACGAGACCAGTGCAACCTTCTTTTTTTTCTCATCAGAACTGCCTCACAGATAACTCCTACATATTTTATCTACTTTCTTTAGCACACTTTGGGGTAGGATAAACACTGCTCCCCAAAAGCTATGTATAGAAAATAGAACATCATTTATCACATGTAATCTTTATGCATATGATAGCTTCTTAGAGTATGTCACCTTTATCGTCTGAGTAATCTTATCAATCAAGGACCAACAATCAGTTTTTCTCCATTTCTTTGGTAAAAGTGGCAAATCAAGGTATTTGATAGAGAATTCTCCAACCGCAAACCTTGTCCTTTTAATGATCTGATTTCTTGTATCATCATCAATCCCAGCTAAAAAGACACTTGACTTTTCCATGTTGGCTTCCAAACCTGTTGTTGCACTAAAGTGTGATAGTGCTTCAATTACTCTGTTTACAGAAGCCAAATTACCTTTACAGAATATCATCAAGTCATCAGCAAAGATCAAGTGAGTCAGTTTCACCTTCTTACACATTGGATGGTACCTAAAATTTGGTAGCAGACTTATTTTTTGGAGAATTCTTGACAAGTATTCCATCACCAACACAAATAGTAAAGAAGATATTGGGTCTCTTTGCCTATGCCCTCTCCTCCCAGCAAAGTATCCATGATTTTCCCCATTCACTTTCACTTAGAACATAGTTATAGTAACACACAACATAATCCATTTAATAAATTTTCCAGGGAAACCAAATCCAGTTAGCACTTCTTCTAGAAAATTCCAACTCACCATATCATAAGCTTTTTTCCGATCAATTTTCACAAGGCATCTAGGAGACACATTCTTCCTATTGTAGTGCCTCAAAAGGTCATGACAAATCAATACATTATGCATCATTGACCTCCCCTGCACAAAAGTTGATTGGTTTTCTGCTACAATACTACTTATAGTTGACTTAAGTCTACTACAAATAAGTTTGGAGATGCACTTATAGATCACATTATAGCAAGAAATAGGCCGGAATTGGCTAGCATATTCTGGTATGTCCACCGTTAAAATGAGGGTTATGCTAGTGGCATTAATCTATCTCAGTATTCTGTTGTTTTGAAAAAATTCCAGCACTGCACTTGTAACATCTTCCCCCACACTAAACCAAGTTGCTTTATAGAAACCACTCTCAAAACCATCAGGTCCAGGACTCTTATTGCTATTTATCTGGAACATTGCTTCTTCACCTCACTTGACTCAAAATTCTTTATCAGTTCATTTTGTTACCCCTCAGAAAGTGTAGTCCCCTGGCATATTAGTTTACTTACTGCCTTTATTCTATGCTCAATTTTCCTTCCTAAGATGTCCTCATAGTACTCCACTATTAATTTAACAATCTCTGTAGGATCATTTTCCCAAACACCTGATTTGTTCTTCAATTGTGTAGTGGCATGCTGCAAACTCCTGTACTTTATGACTGAATAAAAATACTTTGTATTGTCATCTCCAAATCTTATCTATGTTGCTTTGCTTCTCTGTTGCAGAACAATTTAGCCAAATAAGAAGAAGTTCTAAACTTTTGATAAGCATGACTTTCTAATTGTTGGTACTCAATATTATTTGGATTTTTATGCAATTTTCCTTATACTTGCTTCAGTCTCTCCCTATCCTCATTAGTTTCAGTAAGAATGTTCTGAATGTTTTTAGAGTGTAGATGCCTCAATTTCTTTTTCAGTAATTTCAGTTTTCTCACCACCTGGAACATCTTACAACCTTCTATGTTTACTTTCCAACCATCCTCTACTATCTCCTTGAACTATGGGTGCTCAGCCCATACATTACAAAACTTGAAAGATTTCCTAATCTTAACATTCACTAAAGCTCACTCTTGCAGGGTAGTGATCACTAATTTCCTTAGGTAAAAATATAACTTTGCAGGAAGGCATTTTATCCAGCCAGTCATTATAGATAAAAATCCAGTCAATTTTTGAAAAAATTATATTACAATCATATTTATCACTCCAAGTATACGTGTTCCCTTGAGTAGGAAAACCATCAACCCACAATTTGTCACACATTCATTAAAATCTATCATTTCTGACCACACTACAAGATTTCCTCCTATTCTATCATCACCAGACAATATTGAATTGAAGTCCTCAATCACCATCCATGGTTTTACACATCTTCTACTTTGAGTACCTAAACTATCCCACAATGCTTTCCTATCCTCCCTACTGTTAAAAAGCATATACATATGAAATTTTAAAAGAATTTTGAAAAGGTATGAACATTATCTCACAAGTAATCTGTTGAGCACACTTGCTGATGATTTGCACTTTATAGTAGTCAGGTTTCCAAGTTAACCATATCCTACCATTGTAGTGGTACTCCAAATTAGTAGTATATTCCCATCCTACAAACATTTTCCCAGCCAGCTTTTCTATTTTTTTTCCCTCTTTATCTTTGTTTCAAGTAATCCTATCAAACCCACATTTTCCTCATTGCAAAGAAGTTTGACCTCCTTTTGCTTATTTAGGTCATTTAGCCCCCTCACATTCCAGCTAAGCAAGTTAACCATTCCCAGACCTTTCATTAGTCTGGCCACCCACATTTTCCCTACCCCCTACATTATCAGTCTTCCTCTGCAAAATATGAAATGAATTTTCACTCATTACTTCAGAATTCTGCCCTGTTGGTGACTTAGGTTTCCCTATTCTTACAGGAGTTTGCCAGCCCTCTTTATTCATAATGATCCTTTTATCCCCTCTTGTGTGTTATTGAATTATCTGTGTTGGTTTTTGAACTACCTATGTAGCTTGCTTCTGCTTCACTATGCATGCACCTTGTTCCGCTGCATTCTTTCTATTCATCTGACCCGTTTTTGGTATCTTCTTCTTCACTCTACAGTCCTCCTCCACATGTCCATATTTATTGCAGAATCTGTATAGTGTAGGCTTCCAGTCATATTGCACAAATTGTTCTATCAGTTTTCTTTTCTCATTCTTAAATCTCACCTCGTCTGGTAGTTGTGCATCCATTTCTACCTCCACCAGCATTATAGCAAAATTTAGCCCATTCCTTGCCTCAGTATTATGATCTACCATTAACGGCCTTCCTACCAGGCTCCCTATTTTACTCAACCCTTTCCTGCTCCAGTATTTGAAATCCAACCCTGGTAATTTGATCCATATAGGTACAGTTTGCAATTCCTCCTTTGTGAACTCTTAATCTGGTGTCCATTCCTTAACAATAAATGTCTTGTTATCAAAATGGTAGATTCCACCTTGTAGCACCTCTTGTTTCCCTATTTGCGACTCAAATCTCACCACAATCACTCCATTTTTCAACATTGATACTTTATCAATCCCATGCTTTCCCCATAGCCTCTGAATAAACCCATGCACTACTTGGAAGGGTGGGTGAGCTCCAATCACATAGCATACTACAACATTGCCCCAAAATTTTATCTCAGATCTGATATCCTCCAATTCTATTTCCACTATTTCGTTTTCCCCTTGTTTTGGAGGCTCTACATATTCCAACTTGTACCCTGCATTTGATAACTTTGCTATATCAAAATCATCCCATATCGATTTCTTCTTGCCTTGCGAAACAATTTCCTCCTCCACTTCATTTGCCACGGAGATTGTTGTAGTTTTCGTAGTTGCAAGAATTTATCACGATTGGGTTGGTGTGAAGTCTACCGCCTGTCTAGCCTATGCTTTGCATGAACATCTCAATGTCCAAGATAAAAAGAACGAGGGGAAGAATGCCTGCTACTACTAGATTCCACCTGACTCCCCCCTAGATGTTTGTACAATCTCATTCCATATTCCCACTACATTACTTTGTTGGTGTTCCTGGTTGCATGGCATTGTTCCATTAGTCTGCTCTAGTATCTCCTTCGACATTATCCTTATTTCTTTTTCTTTGTTTTTCAATTGCACTGAAGCTGGATCTACACTGATTGACTTTAGTTCCTCTCTACCTCTGGATTGACCTAATTTTGAACCTGATTCATCTACCTTCATGCCCGACTCCACAGTTTCCCTCCCTACCGGACCTGGTTTTTTACCTCTCTGAGAGTTCTCCTTCATGTCTTGAGCTTCCCTCGCCATTATCGCTTTTTGACTGGGTATCCGAGCTCTCTTACCCATGGTGGGGATAGATTATGCTAACGTGCACCGAGAGAGAAAGCATATCCAGAAAAGCTATCCATTACATTCGCTCTTTTTTTTTTAATCATCTTGAATATGTATAAAAATAATCAAGTAAGATTGTTACTCGTGAGTCGTGACAAGTAAGATTGTTACTTATAAAACTTACCAAACAAATCAAGAGTAACATCTATGTGAATTTAGTAATTATTAACACCAAATCAAGTAGTTCTTCTTTGCTAATTATAAAAATATATTATAATTATTAATTAACAAAGGTACCTTCATTTATATTTTATTTATAGAATTAAGGGTGGACTTAAAAAAAGCCGGTAATATATGGGGCATACATCAACTAAATACAATTTAATAATCTTGAATATATAAAAATAATCACAGTTGAATAAATTACTAGTAGGTGTAATATTTTTGTACTTAAAAGTTGAATCAAACAGAAAAAACGGGTGCATATAAGGTTTGTCAGTAATTTCATTATTTTTTAAGAGTCAGAAAACATACAGAAAGAAAAAGGCTTTAAATATATGTCGGTTTATAAGGAAAAAGTCAAACAAAAGAATGCCTTTCTATTTACTCTAGACACGGGTACCCGTACTAGCACAGATTCGTTATTTTTGTCTCAATTTATGTGATACAAATAAAATATAGTGAGTTATTTAAATTTTAATATAATTTTTTAAATATTTTGAGTTGTTAATACTCTAATTTATATTATTTTTTTATATAATTTTTAAATAATATATATTACTCCGCTTGTCTCAATGTATGTAGCATAGATAAAATTTCAAAAGTCAATCAAAATTGTTAATTATTAAGATTTACAATATTAATTACATAGTTTTCAAATTAAATAATTTCATATTATATAATACATATTACTTCTTTTGTCTCATTTTATGTGTCACCGATAGATTAATTTTAAGAATCAGTGGAACATTTTTATGTGTTTTTTTTTTATAATCATAGTATAATTTGTTTTAAAACCAATTAACCGCTATTTATATATTTGCATAATCCATTTACCTGTTTTTTTTCTTTTTTGATATGGTGGAAAAATAAATTAAATAAAAATCTTAAAATCATTCGTCAATAATGCGGTTTAAGTCTGTTAGGAGAAGAAATTTCATGTTCTTAAATACACTATTCCAAAATATCAAAGACTTTTTATGACTATATCGTTCATTTGCTAGAAAATCGACACACTTATTTTCTTCCTTTCGTATATATATTTAATCATAATTTTTTTATCATATATATACGTCTATAATTCTTAATAATAAATCGATAATTGATTTACGTCCTCCAATTCTACTCTTTCGTAATTCATTTGGATTGCAATATTTATTCCATGATTGATGCTCCACAATT